CTATATTGTAACTATCTCTGAATTACTAATAAAGATACGAGCAAGGCCTCACCTTAAAACCAAAAAAAAAAAAAAAAGATTTATTAACAGTATAAATCACGTGATATTATATTAAATCCTCTACCCTAACTGCTAACCAATCACAACTTAAATATATAATTTTGTACTGTCCCCATATATTGCTATCAGAACAGCAAAATATATGATATGATTTCTAATTCTTCTAACCTTAAATATAGTGCTGGTCATGCTGTGTTATTAAGGTTAGTTTTGGTCACTTGCTATATCGATAAGCACATGTTTTGCTGTATTAGTAGCTTAGATATACAATACAAAATATAGCACTGTGTATAGTATACTGTGTAACAAATTAATTTATTTATACAATATTAGAGAGTAGTCTACTGTAAGAGTATTTATATGAGCTATTTATGGTAAATATACAGTATTGTTGCCAATATATTGTTACCAGTAACTTGGTAAACAATTACTAGATTTTAGTTAATATATAACTATTACTTTACTATTCCAGACTTCTAAACTCTAACAATATAAAACTTTCTTAACCTTATAGAATCTAAACCCAATACTACATTTTATTCTTAACTTATTGAATATTAACTAATATTAAATTTAAAAAAAAGTAAGACTACATATATATATTTTACTGGTTGAATACAAAGCTAGATGAGTGCGAAATACAATTATCCTTAGAATACATATAATATATACTTTATTATACACTCATTTCATATTTATTGATATTACATAATTAAACTGTATTGATAATAATAAAATACTAACCTATCAGATTAATTAAGAAACTGTTATATATGATTAAAGCAAATAATTCTTAAATAGCAATATAACAATAATTTTAATATAAATATACTAGACTTTGTAAATACACTATACTTGAAGTAAATAAAGTTTTTATACTTACTATTATATCGACTTACTTATTTGAACATGTTTTAGTATAATGTTCTGATTGTTTGTATTTTTCATACTTATGAACTTTGATATTACTTTCATTTTCTATACTACTTTTGGCTGAACTTTCTAGTTCATTAAGGCGTGTACTATTTTTTAAGTGCTGTTTGGCTTTATCATTTTTTTTAACACTAGATTTAAATCAATTTGGACATCTTTTTTTATGTCTTGTAATATTAGGATTGTTCGTATTATTATTATTCTGAATTTAATTCTCATTTACTTTAACTAGTGCTTCTTGAATAATCTTTTTAAGCATATTGGACAATTCTGGATAGATTTTAGCATTAATTGCATGATTAATTGCTTTTTTTGACAGCCCAAATAATTCTGCATATATCACCTTAGTTGGTTTGGAGACTGATTCCAAATTTAAAATATTATTAGAACAAGCTGAAAATAGATATTGTAGTATAATATTCGGCATGACTTCAGAAGCTTCTTGATACTGCTCAGAAATAGTAATGGTAGAAATCTCTTCAAGTAAATTTTTTATATTGTTTTAATATCTGAAAACCACTGACTTAAAATAAGAGTTACGTGAAATATAGCCAACAGAGAATATGTGCCAATACGAAAAAAATGATGACAAATCAAACTCTTATTAATTAAAAGAAGACAACTACATAAGTGAATGCTATCTTTAAGTAATATAATATAATAACCATGCCCTGTAGTCCCTGTAGCACGCACATGCCATACTTGAAGAATTGAGTCAAATGACATAGTTTGTATCATTTGTTTAAATAAAATTTGATATATATCAGAATCTTGCTCTCTGATCTAAAGACCAATCTGCATATTATCTGTACTAGACTAAAAAATATATTAGTACCATATAATATATGCTAAAAAAAATATATAACTTACTTCAATCAAACTTTGCTATTTATGAATTTGATTAATATTATAGTATACACTTTCATTCATTTGATCTCTTTGTTGATTTAGCATATTAGAAATAAAAAACTTTTCTAATATTTTATTAACGTCAGAAAAGAAACGGTGATTTAATATTGGTAATCCAATAGCTAGAATAGCGTTATGTTGTATTTCAAAATTTAGCAAATATTCATCTTGCTTAATATAATAATTAAGACTAACTAGTAAATCATATAATGAAATTGAGCGATCAACTTTTTGATGTATATTGGAATTAACTAACTCAATTCATTGAGTGCTTTGTGCGTCTTCTGTAAAATATTTATTAATCTACAGAATTGCCCATCTTATATAATGTATCATTTAAGTATTTTGAGGCAGACAGATAATTATCTAATAGATTCAACTAACGACTTTCAAAAAGAGCTTTATATAAACTATTATGGCAGCTGTAAAACTCTGATCAGAATATCTCAAAATGAGAACCCAATTTACTCTTTAACTTTTTTAAAATTTAAATCAATATGAAATATACATATTATATGCTTGGTCATAGGGTATATAGTTTTTAAAGCACTTATTATGGCAGAATCACTGTCAGTAAACATTATTATAGAAACAATGCCAGTTTCTTCAAGCAATGTCTCATAAATCCACCAAAATGATCCTAATATTTTATCTTCAATAAGACAGTATACTACTACCCTTGTCTTAAAATAATTATCAATGATAGTAATAATGTATAGCATCATTTGAAACTGATTTGTATTTGATGTAGTATCTATAAATATTATATCATGAAAATTTTCGTATAGTAACCTTTGTGATGGTGATATCCAAAGTAATGAATTTAGCTTTCTTGATACAGAATCTAAATGTGACTTAACGATCTATAGTGGATCTGATTCTTTCCAACTCAACAAGATTTGAAGTATCAAAGAAGCATCTGAATCTCCCAGGTTATTATTTCGGTAAACATCATAAATAGCATTGTACAAATCTTGTTTATTTAAAGGGTATAAAGCGTAGTCATACTTAATTAAAAGGTATATTGATGCAGAATTCAACCTGCCTTGAATCATATACTTTTTAATATTAGCTAACATCTCAAGAATCAACTTTCGAAATCGAAATGCAATTTCATTAATCATAGGTGTAAGAATATGATTGTGCTCATTTTTAAATGAATCAATTCTAATAATATTAGTTGTCTTTAGACAAGTAACATTTATTTTTTAGAGACAATGTGTTCTCTGTGAAGAAGCTTTATGATATTTGGTTGGATCAGATGTTACTTGTGAACTATGAATACCAGATCTAGTATATTTATATAAGGCTCTTCACATTATGTCTATATTATCAAATTCGCTAGTCCTAATTTTATAATCAAAACCTTCCTTCGATACAAATCTATAAATCCAATATCTAAATTCTTCCCAAGTTTGAAAGACAAGCCCAACTTTTAAACTCAAGAAATCATCATCCTCTGGTTCTTCTTGTTTGCTATAGTATAATATATCATTAACTATAGACAAAGCTATATCAAAA